CCCTGGTTCGGCCTGGGGGGTGGGGACCGAGCCGGGAAGAGCCCGCAGGGCCACCGGCTGGTGGAAGCGCGGCGGGCCGACGGCCACCGCGCCGACCTCCTCCGCTTTCCGGGTACGGGGCCTGCCGACGGCCGGAGGGAACGGGGCGGGGGAGGCGAGGGAGTCCCGCTAGGCCGGGCCGCGGCGCCCGGTGTGCTCCCGGGGGGTGCGGGGCGCCATCCGAGGGCTCTCGTCCTTGGTCTCTTGACCTCCTCCCACCCGTGACAGATTTACCCCCACCCTCGGACAGACTGACATCCTCCCAACCCGTGACAGGCGGGTAGACCCCCAGCCCGGACGGGCAGACTTCCTCCCACCCGTGACAGATTGACCCCCATCCCCGGGTGAACCAACCTTTTCCCACCCGTGACAGACAGATCCCGGGCAAACTGGCATTCCCTGGGACAGATGGACACCTGTCGTGGTTTAACCCCAGCCAGCAACTAAACCCCACACAGCCACTCGCTCGCTTCGGCCCGGTGGGATGGGGGAGAGAATTGGAAGAGTAAAAGTGAGAAAACTCATGGGTTGAAATAAAGACAGTTTAATAGGTAAAGTAAAAGTCGTGCAAGCATGCAAAGCAAAGCAAAACAAGGAATTAATCCACTGCTTCCCATCAGCAGGCAGGTGTTCAGCCATCCCCAAGAAAGCAGGGCTCCATCGTGTGTAATGGTTACTTGGGAAGACAAATGCCATCACTCCAAACCCCCTTCCTTTTTCTTCCCCCAGCTTATATACTGAGCATGACATCATACGGTATGGCATAGCCCTTTGGCCAGTTGGGGTCAGCTGTCCTGGTTGTGCCCCCTCCCAGCTTCTTGTGCACCTGGCAGAGCATGGGAAGCTGAAAAGTCCTCGACCAGTGTAAACACTACTCAGCAACAACTAAAACATCAGCGTGTTGTCAACATTATTCTCATACTAAATCCAAAACACAGCAGTATACCAGCTACTAGGATGAAAATTAACTCTATCCCAGCTGAAACCAGGACAACAGCCCTTTGGCGAAAGCAGCTCAGGGCAGCGTTTGCTCCTTCTCACCCTCTTTCCTACAGTGAGAACAACAGAGATCGGGCGGCTGATCAGCTCCTACCTGGTGAAGGAGAAGAACCTGGAGGACCACACCATTCACCTGCTCTTCTCTGCTAACCGCTGGGAACACGTGTAAAGATAGTGTTTGTTAAGTTGTAAAAGAAAAAAGCATGGCATTGAATCCTGGGGTTTTAGCTTGCAGTGGGTACAGTAGGTACGAGAGTATGATCCTGTTTAGCAAGGGAAACATGGCTGGAAGCAATGTCGCGAGGACTCTTATGGATTTGATTTAATCCAATGGCTTTGGATTTAATCTTAGACCAAATCCCACAGACTGTTCTTTTGAAATCATGAGGTATGATATTTCCAGTCCCTGTGCTGTACTGGATTCAAGAATTGGGTTGCTGAGACTGTACCAGCCTAGACTGTGAATTTTCTTTCTTTCTTGAATGAAGAGACCTTGCTTCACAAGGAGGTCCGTGTGAGTGACAGAGCAGTTAAGGAACTGTGTCCAGACTTCCCCTCTAGCCGAAGGCTGCGTTCAGCCGTAGGTGGCTGTCCTTGCTTTTGGCCCCTGAGTCTTTGCATGTGGAGCTAGGGAAATCGGTGTTGGCTGTTGTTTTTACCTGGAAATCTATATTGCAAAATGTTTTCATTTTAAAACAAAAGCTTGGCTGATTCTGCTGTAGTGGCGGTGCCAAGCAAACTGGGAAAGCATAAGGCAGATAAGTGAGCTGTAATAAGAAATGTCATTGTCATGGGTAAAGGACTTTTTGACTGAGGCAGAGTGTATCACACATCTACTGCACCACTTAAAAAGGGAAGAGGACTAAGCTGGTCATGTCTGAATATAGTTAGCTGTGATCCTGCCTGAAAGTCATGGAGCCGCCTAGAGCAGGGCCCTGCACTGAGGCACCCTGAACTTCGGTGTCTTGAAAGGGTGTTTCCTTAATGTCTCTTAGAGGACAGAATACAAATAGCTATTTATCTGCAATCAGCATCGCAGGTAACCCTGACACTGCTGATGATCACTGTTAATGATAATGTATGTTAACAGAGAAGCACTGGCCTCATGAGCTGTCTTTTAGATGAAATCCTTTCATTTGTATCACTATAAAGGAGTGTAACTCTATTTTTTTTTTTCTCCCACATGGTTTTCAGACCGTTGATGAAAGAGAAACTACATCAAGGGATCACACTTGTGGTTGACAGATACGCCTTTTCTGGAGTGGCCTTCACGAGTGCCAAAGAGGTGAGTGAGACCTACAGCAGCCCCTGCCCCTCTCTGTATTTGGGGAAGCAGCTCCAGTTAGAGGCCTGATACAAACATCGGTGTGCGTGGCCAAGGCTCCAGAGGACTGGGGAAACATGGATTGAAATTGAGGGATGGAAGTTTCAGCTCAGGTATTGACATGGTCTGTTTGCCTGAGTCTACCCCTTCCCCAGAAAGAGCAGAGAAACTCATTTGGTTATTTTTTGTAAATCTGGACAGACTCCTGGCTGTTGGGAAGCTGGCCTATTTGACTCTGGAGAATGATTATGCAAGTTTATTTGAGATTCCCCATGCTTGCTCTGGCTGCTGGCCCATAGATTTGCAAAGAATAACAGAACCACGTACGTTGGAAGGGACCTGTGGAAGTCACAAAGCACAACCTCCTGCTCAAGAGTAGGTCTAACATCCAGCAGGCTGCTCGGAGCCGCATCCAGCTGAGGTTTGAGTATCTCCAGGGATGTAGATCCACAGCCTTTCTGGGCTCTTCTTTCAGTGTTTGCTCACCCTCATGGTAAAAAATATTTTCTTTATTTAACCTGAACTTCTCACGTCCTCACTTGTGACTTTTGGCCTGTCTCTGCTTTCAAGACAAGTCAGCTCTGTCAGCTTCCCTTTGGGTCATCCTGTGCAGCTATAAGATCCTCCTGAGTCTTGTGCTCATTCTTGTGCTCTGAGGAGGCTGTCCTGGAAGATCAGCCAGCTTTCCTGGGCCTCTTTGCCTTCCATGTGAGTTTCCCAGGGCATCCTGCTAAGAGGTCCCTAATAAACAGAAATCTGCTCTCCTGAAGTCCACACTGGTGATTCTCTTTGTCCTGTTGACTCCTCTCCAGATTTTAAACCACCATCTCATGTTCGCTGCAGCCAGGGCTGCCCTTGACCTTCACATCTTCAACCAGTTCTTTCTTGCTTGTGAGTAACAAATCCAGCAGGGCACCTCTGCTAGCTGGTTTATTGATCACTGTGTCAAGAATTTCTTCCACATGCTCTAGAAACCTGGATTGCTTGTGCCCAGCAGATAGGCAGGTGTTTGAGATCCTTCATGAGTACCAGGATCTGCAATTGAGATCCTTCTTCCAGCTGTCTAAAGAAGGTTCCTCAACATCCTCTCTTCAACCAGGCAGTCTGTAGCAGGCTCCACCCCAACATTACTCGTGCTACTCTGCCTTGGTTGTGCTGCTTTCAGGTGAGCCTCCATTATTGTATCATCCCCCAGACATTTCCTCCTGGCCTCGCATCTTCAGTTCTCTACAGATTGCAAACCTTCTCCTGACATACCTAGTTTAAAGCTCTCTTCACTGGCTTAGTAAGCCTGTTTGCATAGATACTCTTGTCCCACTTAGAATCATAGAATCGTTTAGGTTGGAAAAGACCTTTAAGATCATCGAGTCCAACCGTTAACCTAGCACTGCCATGTCCACCACTAAACCATGTCCTCAAGCACCACATCTGTCCGTTCTTTAAAT